AAAAAAAAAAAAAATTATTAGAAGTTTCACAGAGAAAGGATAAAAATTCGAGTAGCGAGTTTGCTAATAAAACTTACTTTATGCAATCGTTTGCAGACTTAACGTCACATTCAGAAATAATCTGCAATAATTCCCCTAGTGTTTTCGACATGGTGTTTAGCCGTAAGTCTGGAACAACTTTCTTCAAAGGTTCTATTAATCTCTCCGTCATCAGATTCTCTTCAAAACTTCCAGACGATTCTTTCTCAAGATCATTCCTTTCTTCAATTAACTTCTGACTGTCTTGAAGTTTCTTTTGAATGACAAGCAGAATTTGCGTAACCAATTTGTCCAATTTAACTTTATATTCACTTGGATCTCCAGATTCCGCAGACTGTTCTATTGTCGATGCTGATTTGAATAATTCATCACTACTTTCAATCTTCTCGATTAAGAAATTCAAATTTTCGCTAATGGGATGATCCAGCGTGAAGGAACATCTCAGGTCAACTAGTTTCCTTTTTATTTCATTGATTTCTAGGTAACTCAGTTGCAAAAACTCGACGTGCTTCCGATGAAATAAGAAAACTTGACCAAACTTTTCAATTTCCCTTGAGACTGTGACCCATGAATTTAATTTAACTGCCATATGTTTGATCAAGCTCAAGCTATCTTTCATAGATGTTACTGAAGTTTTTGGAACGTTACCCTCTCTCAGAACAGGTACTGCAGTTTCATTTAAATCAAGATGGTTCTCCTCTGCGAGAGAGTCCGTCGGGCAACTCTCCAGGAAAATCACAATCTGTTTCATAGTTATTTGTAACACTTCTAACAATTCCTGCAAATTGTTCATGCCAGTGTGTAAGTTTCTTTGCACAGGAGCATCAAGTTTCCCAGATTCTGTCTCTCTAGTCACATCTTCCACCATCAGCGCGAGGTTTGATACTTGAATTCTAAATGGAAGAAATCGTTTGAAGAAGTTCGCGATCGTTTCCTTCTGACGATGAGCTAGCAGTGCAAGGTGGACTGAAAAGCCATGACAACGTTCAGCGTTTTGCATGTCCAGGTTACCCTTCCCAGAATTTAATATTCCATCGAGAAAGTTCAGTTTAACTAAGGATTCATAATAATACTTGTTACAACCAGACCATTGTTCAAACAGCCCTTTGTCTATATTTACATACTTGCTTTTAAATTCAAAGCTTTGCATCCCTTGCAAGTCCAAGGGCACACAGGTGAAGTTAGTGATCTCACTCTTTCTATTTTTCCAAGTTAAAATGCCAATTCTGTATGAAACTCCGAGCCCACTCAACGCTTTGAAATAATTTGCTAGTGCCAGTTTCTTTTGCTGAAGCAAGCTTTTCAATTGAGCTTGTTGCTTGCCTTTTGTCAAGGTCTTGTCGACTTCCAAGCTTCTCAGTCGTTTGCTTTCCTCGAGGCTCTCTTCTACAAAAGTTTCAATGTCCCGTCGAATCTGAGAGTAACCAGTTCTTTCAATAATATTTTCACAGAACTGACGAGTCTTGCCAGCCAGTTTCTCCATCTTTTGCAACTTTCTCGACTCAAAACTGACCAAGAAATCTGAAGGTCTGAGCTCTCCCCTGGAACTCGTCTCCACTGAGCTCTCTACTTTTGTCTTCAGGGTTAAATAAGACGCGACGTTCTGCTCCAAACCTTTCCGGAATTCCTTGACAAATTTGTGCAACGTTCTGCGTGTCTTCTCAGCTGTGTTCTTCACAGACCAATAGCTTATATCGTTCCATCTCGTGATCTTGATGGTGTCTTTTAACTTCTTGGCAATAGGTTCTTTCAGGACCTTAATTTTATTTTGAACATCATCAAGAAACTGACTGTAATAGAAGTAAATATTCCAGAAAATGGCTAGCAATTCTTTCTGTCTCTTTGTTTCTTCAAGATGGTCAACGTGTTGATAAAAGAGGTAGACTAATTGAAGTCTCGTTTCAAATTCGATCAAAGACGATTCCACCAAAAAACGTTCTAAACTTTCGATCACCTTTTCTTTCGAAATATTGTCAGATTTACTAGGTGCTTCAATATTTTCAATACTTTCTGCAAGATACTGGTCTATCAAATTGAACAAAAAGAACCACCACTTTGATGCCCAAGTTTTCAAGTCATCCTCAAGTACTTCCAACGAGTCCTTCCACCTTGATATCTCAAGTTTACGCCAACAAAGTACCTTCTCACCGAAAGATTCGATAAATTCTGCAAGACTGACGTCGAAACGAGCGTTCTCTTCCCATTGTTTAATTTTTGTCAGCAGCAATTCCACACCGACCAGAAATCTAGACAGTGAAGAATCGATGGAAAAGCTGATGAGTCTGTCGATAATCAGTTTAATGGAATTCAAAATGGGATTTTCAGGCCATTCCTTCAAAAACTCGCTGATCTTCTCGCAAAGCCGATCAAAGAGTGGTTGGCACTGTTCAATCTCTGGAATATTTGGATCTTTGTAGAAATCATAGACCTCTCTATCATTATTTCCATTGTCGAAGTTGGATCTTTCAGAAATTAATACATTTAAGCAGCACACCAGCTGAGAAGACAAGTTCTCTGGCCAAGTTTTCACCGAGGATCCTAGCAATTCCAGTCTTTGGATCAAAGGCTCAATGAAATTGGGTTCTAAATTAGATTCAGTACTTTTCAAATTGTTTCTAGATCTTCTCGAAACAATCATTGAAGGATGTTTCAAATTGCTATCACAAGGGGAACAGTTTCTCAAGATATTCCAATGAATTTCCTGAATTTCCCTAGCGTCCTTCATAGATATCACTTCGACGAACGATTCTTTGTCGCTGGAAATATCTTCTGAAACATTCTGGAGCTGTGAGAGGTCTTGATGGGTATCTGGGAACATTTCTGCAAGCTCCAAGAAGTCCTGTTGATAGCCTGGGAACATATTCCTAAAATCCGACTCCTCTTCTTCCTTCGCAGACTTAATTTTAAATAAACTTTCTTTTTCTTTCATCTGTTCTTCCCTTTGCTTCTCTTGCTCCCTCCACAGGACTCTGATTTTGAGAAATATCTTGTTCAATTCTTCCCACAGTGACTTCACATCATTCCTAACCAGAGATAAATTTTCAAGTTCCTTCAGTGCAATTTTGGCCATTGCAAATCTGTCCTTTTGAACGGTCTTTGATTTCAGTTGTTTTGTCAGAATGAGGATCAGCTTCTCTGAAGAGCACAGTCTCGCCAAGTTCATGTAATTTTCCTGGCACGGGCCAACGACGGGGAAACGTAACAAACTGTAACAGACATCACTGTTCGAATTTCGGAGCTCTCTGCTCGAAAGTTCGTGGATTAAGATTGACAAACCATGATGTAAATTGGAAACCGCAGAGATCACCGGTGAAACCAGATCGGGGAAGCCAACGAGAAAGTTCTTTTCCAATTTACCAGAGAACCTTTCCAACGATCTCTTCCAGATTATAGCTTCGTGCAACTTTTCTCTGTGAGATTCCTGCGATTCCCCTTTTCGCATTTGTTCAGCCAGTTCTTTAGATTGTCTGACTTGTTTAAATATCGATTCGAACGAGCCTACGTTGCTGGAGAAGTTCTCTATCTCGTCCCTTAAATTTTGAAAGCTCGACGACGGCCTGACTGCCTGAATGTTCTCAAAGCTTCTCGCCTCGCTGGATAACGCCCTCAAGTGATCGATCCTCGATACTTTTCGCTCCTTGGACAAGGAGGTTCCAAGGATGACAGACTGGAGATCTTCAACCCGCATTAAATGCTCCAGTTCGGAAATATTCTCTTGTATGTATTTCGATTTCAAGGCGATCTTTTGAACCGGATCAATGGGCCCTAGATCGCAGAAGAGAAATATCTGCAGATATCCTAGGATCAACCATCCGTTCCCTCGTTCGATCACGTTGTCCCCACGTTCCAGGTTTCCTTTGATCTCTCCCAACAATCTCATCGGCTTGAAGAAACGATTTTCCAGATGACTTTGCTCCTCGGTGTTTAATTCCAAGGGGGAAGTGTCTGTGACTTTATTCGCGGCAGACAGGTAATAATCAACGAGAAATTGTAACAGGATCGAGTCGTTGGTGGATATGTTGAATTCATCTGAATTTAAAATTAAAGAGTTCTTCCATAGAAGCGTTTGCACTGTTTGCAAAAGTCTTCTCTGGTTCTTGTAGTTTCCAAGATTGATCATTTCCTCTCTGGTCCCGGATTTCCTTAGAAACAGCTCGAAGATTAGGTCGCACAGGGATGATTTGTTGATGAAGTTTGTCTGGAAAGTGTAATAAAAATTGTTAGATCAGAATACTAAGAGTTAGTATAACTGCTTGAAATGGTAAAAATTACCTGGAAAATATTAAAATTCTCTTCTGGCCCGTTTCCCTCGCTGTCGTACCAATGCAGAAGGATATTCGAGTTTTTCACAGCGAAGGATCTTTCTGCAAACTCCTCGACAGAGAATAGCAATTCAGGGAGCAGAGAGATCCGTCGTCTAGTTGAAATTTCATTGGCATTCAAAGCCTTTATCAGACCTATCAAACGTGGTGGTATCGTTGGGACATCTTCGAATTTTCTAAACACACTCTCCTTGTAAATTCTCCCCAAACTTTCGCCAGTTGTTTCAACAAAATCCCCCGGCTCTTCCCAATCCATGAGAGTCTCAGACATTCGGTTTCCCTTGTCAGAGTTCTTCTCAAAGTTTCGATGCATCTGTTCCTTGAAGTCGTTTGAAAATTCGTCGCAGAATCTCCTCTGGAAGCGATACGCGAACAGCAGGAAGAAAAACTCGTAAATCGGCCATATTTCAATTTCCGAGAAACTCTCGCTCGCTTTGACGTCGCATCTGCTGACTTCTTTGACTTCTGAAACGTTTTTACAGATTTCTTCAATTTTCAACGTGCCTTCGGTCACGTTCTGCCGCGGATTTTCGAAACTCTGAACGCAGACCTCGATGAAACTTTTCCTAGCGATCAGATTCTCGGGAGAGCCGATAGAGACGACTTTCAATTTCGTTCTCAGCGAATCGATCAAGTCTTCTTCGACGATCTCCAGCTTCCTCGAGATGGACTGCAACCTCTCGTGAAAGATCATCGAGCTTTCGGAAAAATGAGGCGACCGAACGAACAGAAGCTTCTTGATTCTCTTCCGAATCTTTCGATATTTGTCGGCGTCGATCGCCACGTTCAGATGCTTCTGCAAAAAGTCTGACGACTCCAGTTCCCCCCTTAAATCGCGCGACAGTGCGAGTAGCTTCTTGAAGAATTTCGTCAGCCACTTATAGTGGACCTTCAGGTGCGAAGAAATTTCGCGTACATCGAGAAACACTCCTCGTGACTTGTCGATTAATTTGCTTTCCCCTATTTGGTGGAATCTTTGGTACCATTTTAAACCGTCACGCAATTCGACGTACTCTCGATCGTCCATTGACAAATTTCGACTGTGAAGAATCGTCTCGATGATCTTTCCAAACTGATCGGTCATTTCTGCGAATTTAAGTATCAGTGGCTCGTTCTTCAAGTTGGTCGACAGCCTTCCTAGAAAGAAACAGGAAATATTTTATGTTTTACAGAGCAGTGGTGAGAAACTTCTTTTTTTTTGGATATGCTCCACCTAAGTATCTAAAATTCTGATGCCACCATAATTATTATTATTCAAAAAATGAATTTTGAAGGAGGCCTAAAAGCTTCTGAAGAATATGACAAATTGGAAAGTAAAAACGTTTTCCATTTGAAGAAAATGTAAAAAATTCACTTGTCAACTCATTCTCGAATTAATTAACAGATGAAATTAATTATCACAAGCATGTATCCACAAGTAATATTTTTAATAAATTTAATAAGCATTGCCATCTAGTAAAAAGAATAATTTAAATAAAGTAAAGTAAAATTTTGTACAATATCAAAAAAAAAAAAAAAAGAAAAGCGAAATTACTACTAAAATTAATTGTCAAGCAGATTTTGGAGTTTTACCGGAGCAAACAGCTGACGAGTACTCTTTCAGACACATCGAGTCTTTGTCCCACTGAATGTCCCTCTCGGATTCGCAATCTAGATTTATCAGTCGAAAGTACAACGCGATAGCCAGATTGTTGGACGACGTGGGAGGTTCGATCAGACTCAACGGGACCTCGAAGGCTGACTTGCCCCTGAATAAAAATTCCATATTTCCAACTTCGCTGCTAAGACACTCGTTTATCTCTGCCAGCTTGTTGAATTTATTTCGCGGGAGGATATTCCGACTCCAGAGTCGTCGTGTCTGCAGGTCATCCAGAGACGACCGTTCGTAAAAATCGAGCAGGAGCTGCCTGAAGAATGCCATTGTGTCCGTGATGGGAGGTTGCTCGAAAAAATCGTGGAAATCAATTTTCTGTGCTCTTGAATCATCGCTCCTGAAAGTGGGCCAACAAAAGAATTATATATACACTATATATAATATATAATATATGGTATATATATTATATAATATAATATATATATTACATCTTGATATATATTATATATATTACTATTTCTATATATATATTACTATATATATTACTATTTCTATATATTATATATATTATATTACATATTATATATATTATATTATTCTATATATATTACTATATATATTACTATT